GTAATAAAAGAAATATGGCCTGGCGCCGAAGTCAATGTCGTTGCAGGGCGTCGGCGTGATGCAGTAAAGGTGTGGCAAAGCCTGAATTCACAGGTCGGTGCGAGTTCCGGATGCGGCGTCCGCCGGACTATGTATGGAAACTGACCGAACCACCACGCGATCGTCGTTAGTGCGGATATCATTCGATAGACCTGTGTACAGAAACAAACCAGAGTAATAATTTCTTGGGAAAAATAAACTCCAACAAGCAAAAATTACTAGGATTAATAGCACCTGATTTATTTGTTGTAGCAATCCGAAGAAAGGTGATTCCAAAAATTGGGACTCGATCCGCACACCCATTGCCTGATGGGCGATAAAGCGACGGTATGGCGATGCTGGCAAAGGTTGGCTTGCCGAGGCAAAGCCGTCGGTCCAGCTAACGTGACAGAGATGGTCGGCTAGTGACGCCGAAGTCTCCGGAGTAGGTTGATGAGGAGATGACGAAGCCCTTGGTCTAGCCGAAATGTCGAAGCCTCGATGTCAGCCGATGAGTCGAAGTAGGTCGGCGTGATGGACACCAGCTTGAAGAAGCAATAGTGCGGCCTTGCCGATGCAGGCCATGACGTGGTCGATGCTAGCTTGATGAAGTGACCATGCGGCGATGTCGGTATGCCCGCTCCGTGTAATCCATGGGGCGGCGATGTTGGTGATGATTTATCCTTCACGATTGTCGGACTCTTGTTCGGCTTGCCGAGATGATGATCCGAAGAAATTAAGCTCGGCTCAACAAAGTGACGACGTGTCTAGCGCAGGTTGGCAGCCTTGGAGCAATATTGCCGGACTGGTTTGACACCAGCATAATGATGAAGATGACGTCAGGGGAGGCTTAAAAATTTACGGGCACGTGTTTAAAAACAATGCACAATACCCTAGAAGAGAATTCCTCTAAAAAGGTTTTCCAATATCATGTTCATAAAGAAACATGAATTCGGGTCGGATCCGTATTCGCGCAGAAAACGGATCCAAAAATTGGTCCACTCATCGGAAGGTTCCCGGAGTTTGAACCGTCGGATCGAGCTGAAATTTGGAGGGGTGGTAGATATGGGAATTCCGCAGTAAATGAACGGTTGGGTCTTCCAAAGGACCTCCGAGCTGGGCTCTGGAGACCACGCCCTAAACTCGTCCAGATTTGACAGGGCTCCGGTATATCGTAGTTTGTTGGAGATTCCTCCATCGGAACTCGAAGAAATTTTGCATGGTTGTTGTAGACGTAATTCCGCACTATTCCACCGAAGCAATCATCAAACTGGCGCTCGAGGAGGCGGTGACGGTGAATTCAAGTTTGTTGTCCATAAAAACAGCACGGCCGCCCGAGGGCAATGTTGACGTTGAGCCCTCGAGCTCCATGGATGACTCTTCTATGACCATGATAGAGATCGGAGTTGATGTTGAAGAAGGCCCCCGTCTGAACATGACGATCGGAGATGGAGCACGGTCCTCGGTCGAGCCAAGGTGACCAGTCGAGCCGGCGAGGAAGATGTCGGCGTTGCAGTTGACCTGCGGGCGAGCCATCGATCCTTTTGCCGATCACACAGCAGAACTCTCAATGAAAGCACCAATGTCGGTGTCAAAACCGGCAGATCTCGGATAGGGGGTCCCGAGTTGCGCGTCTAGGATCGATGGTAACAGGAGGCAGGAGACACGATGTTTACCCAGGTTCGGGCCCTCTTGATGGAGGTAATACCCTACGTCCTGCTTGATTGATATTGATGATATGAGTATTACAATAGTTGATCTACCACGCGATCGTAGAGGCTAAAACCCTAGAAGCTAGCCTATGGTATGATTGTTGTATATGATCTATCGACTAGCCTGGCCTCGGTTTATATAATGCACCAGAGGCCTAGGATAACAAGAGTCCTAGCCGAATAAGCCGGTGGGGAGGAGTCCTTGTCTTGATCACCAAGTCTTGTGGAATCTTCCATGTATACGACAGTTGTCCGAACTGGCCCATGAGTATACGGCCATGGGGGTCCTCGGCCCAATCTAACAGATCGGGAGACGACGTGGTGAGTACCCCCTGGTCCAAGACACCGTCACCCGGCTCCTGTGTTTGCCTCCTACGTTCCGCTTTGTTCGGCTAGGTGCGCAACGGGAGAACCACTATGATTGTGCTTCCAGCTAGCATGGTTAAGCGCCTCAGTGGAGAAAGCCGAAAACTGACTGCCACAATAAGCGTAAACTGGTCAGCGATCCGATGACTATGTTAAATGACGACCATTCATAACATTGGCCGAAGTGTTTACGGCTTGACCTCGACTGTCGCCGAACACTACCGGGGGATAGTAACTGGCCTCCCAAACTAAATCCTCAATATTTTGCTCTTACATTAGAGCTGAGGTTTCATGATCATGCTTAGCATAACAACCCAAAGAAAGGAACCGATAGCGGGACTATTTTCTTTGGAAGACATTTCTTATGTTAAACAGTAATATAACATATCTCTCTGCGTACCTTTGTTTATAAAACCGTATGGCCAGATTGCCTTGTTTGTCGTAAATATTTTCCCTCATAAAGGCTTTATAAAGTAGGACAAACACTCCACGGCTACTAGCCGAGGAGGTGGAAGCCGATGGTCGGTCAACAAAGTTTTGTACAATGCGGACCCGAGCATTAATGATGTAAAGTACTTGGATACATAGAGTCATTACACATAATTTGTGATTTTACTATGGATATCGATCCTTAATTCGGCCACCCGTGCCCGCATTAAGGCTCGGGGGCTACTGGGCTTCAGGCTTATTATTTAAAAATATTAAAGGGGCACATCGATCCCCTGATCTGGTGTTACCACCCGACCAGTGCCTCGGCGGCTACTGCATTGCTTGTTCAATGCAGAAACTTTTAAGTGCAATATAGTTTCCGAGGAGATTTTGATCCTCAGGTTGGTCAGTCGCACCCAACCTGAGTCTCAAGGACTGAGCATGCCGCTTTTTGTGTCACGAAGTATTCTGCCGAGCTAGGACTTGATCCTCAGGCCGATTTTGCAAATCAACCTAAGTCTCGGTGGCTACTGGGATCAGCGGTCTTACGTCATCCTTCAGGTGCATCTCGGGTTTTAGACCGATACACACCTTGAGGGCTACTGGCTATATATCTCGAGAGAGAATAAATTGCACCAATAAAAAATATTGACAAAAAATCGGCCCACAGTCGGGGTGGTGCACCACCTCGGAAGCAGTCCGGCATAAAGCTCGGGCGCTAGTAGCTGGCTCCATAGAGGGCATTTCCGACATTAAGCTTGGCTAAACTCCTTCAACTTTTTTGAACCAAGGTGATATGACACCTCGGATATAGTCCGGCGTTGGAGCCCGGATACAGTTCGACGTTGGAGTTTGGACATAGTCTGGTGTTGGAGCTCGGATACATCGGAAAGTGGTCCGGCGTTGGTGCTCGGCTGCAAAAGATACCTCGAATGCAGTCCGGCGTTGGAACTCGGACGCAAGAGGACGCTGCCGCCCGAGGACAACTTCAAACCCGAGGTGTGGCATAAAAGTAACAAGGCATTGATAAAGGCCGAAGACTTAAAGGGCTCCTCGGATACCCGACGTGTGAGATCTTCAGATTTAGCTCGGCAATCCTCAAGATAGAAGATGGGAAGATTTGTTGAACCAGTTTTCAAGACCAACGACCGGAGATGAAGAACAGTTCGGAAGAATCGAGGAGCGTCCATAACTTGAAGACCGGTTCAGGGGGCTACTGACGGTGTCCTAGACTAGGGGGTACTCACCACGTCATGTCCCAATCTGTTAGATTGGGCCGAGGACCCCCATGGCCATATACTCATGGGTCAGTTCGGACAGCTGCCGCATACAAGGAAGATTCCACAAGACTTGACGATCAAGACAAGGACTCCTCCCCACCGGCGTATTCGACTAGGACTCTTGTTATCCTAGGCCTCTGGTGCATTATATAAACCGAGGCCAGGCTAGTCGATAGAAGATATATACAACAATCATACCATATGCTAGCTTCTAGGGTTTAGCCTCTACGATCTCGTGGTAAATCAACTCTTGTAATACTCATATCATCAAGATCAATCAAGCAGGAAGTAGGGTATTACCTCCATCGAGAGGGCCCGAACCTGGGTAAACATCGTGTCCCCCGCCTTCTGTTACCATCGATCCTAGACGCATAGTTCGGGACCCTCTACCCGAGATCCGCCGGTTTTGACACCGACAGTGTGCATCCAACTTGCTTGCTCACGAAGACCTAGGACATTTTGAGGAAGCCCATCATTGGAATATACAAGCACTACTAGAAATCCACATTTTACCCCATATACCCTAGGTGAAATGCAAAAAACCATAGGGGAAGACTTTACCTAGAGCTTGCCCTAGGTAAAGAACCCTAGGTGTAGTATAGTCAGGAAAGAACTCTTTCCCTAGGGTGCATGTGGCAAGCTCAAGGGAAACTCTCTTTACCTAGGGGCACAAACCCTAGGGAAAGACCATGGGGTCCATATGAATTGTGACACCCCACTACTTCCCCTACAATTCTTTCCCTACTAGATGTTTAAATAATACCATAGGGATACATATATTCATATATTTCATATACAAATACACATTCAAATTGAAATTCATGTCCAACATAATTTAAATAATTAGATTCTGTGCCATAATTAAAATTTATAAATTGCAGCCAAAATTCATCATACACATCATATTATCAACAAACACATACATCAGGCTCATGGTCAATTTAGCGCCAGAATTCAAAAAATAAACTATTGCGAAATTTGGCACGACTAGCACTGTTGGTCAGGTATCTACTACTACAAAAGAACTGTAACATGTTATCTATCATGCACTGCAGAAGATGCATGGTCTTCAAGTGTCAAGCCCTGCCCAAGCGGTTGGCTTCCTGAGATGTGTGACAAATTGAGTAAGGAAGTTCTAGATGCCATGAAAAGAAGCCGAACATCCCTTCAGCATCTGGGTCGGGTGCCACCAGAGTCAAAAGCTTGGAAGAAGCATCAAAGTGACATTATGGTCCTGAAATTAGTGATGACAAGCAGTTTAGCACTTAGTTGTAAGTAAAGGTATATTGGCAACAACAATTAGTAAGTGTAAGTAAAAGAAAATGGTGATTTGACTTCGAGGTAAAACCAAGAATTACAAGTCAAGGAGTCGACGAGTCGAGAGCCGAGGTTGAGACTCATAGAGTAATCGTGACTAGTCTAGACTACTGCTGGACTAGTCAACATGGTACTGTAGTACTCAACTTATAGTAATTAACTACTAATACCTAGTATGCAATGTAGTACATACTATATATTACTCCCTCCGTCCCATAATATAAGAGCATTTTTTACACTAGTGTAGTGTCAAAAACGCTCTTATATTTTGGGACAGAGGGAGTATACAAAAAAAATTGAGCAGCAAGGGGCGTGGATCCAGGGAAGGAGCGGAACCAATAAGGAAGGGAGAGCATTGTAATGCTCCTGGCCACCGCCAGCGGCAGTGGCGGGCAATGGGCAGTGGTGGCGGCCTAGCCCCAGGTGAGGCGACTCGTTGTGGAGCGAGCCTGGAAAGCTAGGGTTGCAATGTTTTTTTTCCTGCGGGCTGAGCTCTGCTCACTTATCCCTCGCAAATTGAGCCACCAGACTAGTCTAGACTAGTCGACGACTAGTCGCTCCATCGCTCGACTCAGCGAGCTAGTCTACATGAAGAAGCTAGTTGACAATTAGATTGAGACTATTAGACTAGTAATCATTGGGTAAAACCATGGAAGTTTCATATTGCCTATAGTTTAACTCAAATGACATGTTTTACTTTGTATTACAACTACTTCGCACCATCATAAGTTCATAACAGGAAAACATATGTGACTGAGAGTATTCCTTGTGTAATACTATGTCAGGTAAGAGAGAAGAAAATCCCAGCGTTGAATGTAAATTAGAGCACCCAATAGAAACATAACAAATAAAGCTGAGCAAGAAAAAGACTGGTCTCACACCAAATAGTAACATGACCAGTTACCTTACAGCAGCCTCGTGTCTTTTTTTTCATATAATGTCGCAAAAGTTTTATAGCATTTGCATCACCTTCTTCTCTTACCTATACACCAGGCATTTCGGTAATATTTACAATAGAAAAAATAACATGACGTACAACATATTAGCAACCCTCGGCTTTAAAGAAGTCATGTCACTTGTATTGCAACTGAATTAGAGAACGACCACATAGTATTGAGTGGCGCTCTCTTAAAAAATAAATAGGTACTGAGCAATAGAGAACAATCAGGCATAGTACATAGATACAAGGATTAAAAGCATCACAACGATGTCATTAGTATGCAGAGTAAATGTTTGCAGTCAGAATTTTATCAAAGTAGGCATGCGGCTATAAAATACCATTTGAGATTTTACATATTATGCACCCACCAGGAACAAAACAAACAACTCTATCGAACTAGGAGGAACTAGGTGTTGTACCAAGCAATAAATTAACTAAGAAATTGAAACAAGCAATTACAAAAAGCACAAAGGAGATATTGAAGGATAGGAACATCAGCACAAAGTAGGTTGGATGGTTTTTAGTGCTAGATAATTATGTTGTGCTGCAGAAGTAGTTTCCACTGACCTTTCTATATTTTCTCCTCTGTTCTTCAGAAAACTCTATTTTATTAACGCCTTTTATACCATCAACAGCACCCCCGTCTTCAGCTATCTCCTCCACCTATACAATAATAATTGAAACTTTAATGCAACTGCTCCATGGAGAAGACAAATAAAATAGGAAATTAGTATGATGGCAAACTTTACGGGAAATATCAGTATAATGGTAAATGCCATGGTGAGCCTGTTATTTAAGGCCAAATAGAAATTCTTATGATCCTTACACTTGTCTAGCTAACTCTAACAACAAAGTTTACAACTTGTATAGCTAGATGACTGGACTATTTTAAACTTAAACATCTGGACAATATGCCTGAAGATTACGGGTAGCTAGCTCTAAGAACAAACTTCAAACGGTTGGGCATGCTATGGCACAAGCTTCCAGGAGTACCAAGACTAGAATCTATTTACCTAACTATATATGCTGATCAGTACGAGTATATATGACAGTGAACATGAGCAGTAAACATATAAATGACACTACAGAAGTGTAGCAACTATGAACCAACACGTCGTAAGTAGCTACAGTTATCAGTTCTATGTGTACAGAAATATAAACAGCAAAGCCAACAATACAAGTTTGCATTACAAATAGCTAGCAAAAAGAGACTGGAAGACACTGTCAAACAGTAATGCATTCTATAATAACCAATAGATAGACTGCATGAATATATCCTACTTGATACATTTAAATGTCTACATTTTGACCAGAATTTAAATGGTTGATTGGCTCACTCGTATTCATGCATTTTCATATGTATGCACTTTTGTTGGATATATACCAGAACTTGAGGTGGTCTCATCACCGAAGATCCAGGACATGAGCACATTTCCAAAAGTATCTTAGTTAACTATATTACCATGGGCACAAATTCAGACTGCTCAATTTTACATGTATTGAGATAGATAACATGCTGATAGCATCACGTTAATGCAGGTAAATCATGTGATATACTCTAACTAATAGTGGGCAACTTTGCAATATGAAATTCTCTTATCAACTACCGACTAACTATGTTCTGCCAAATCCACCAATGGCATACCACGTACCAGCTATAGGACCCAATCATCAACCAATGAACAGGTGAAGGACTGAAGGGGATCCTCTAAATAAACAACAGGGAGCGAAGAAAGAGGGCGACGTCTATCCATACCTTGAGGCTCTCTATGACCCCGGGATGACCTCGTGCTCGAGCTCGAGAACTCGCCCTCAGTGTTCTCCGGCGGTCACTATGGTCCACCGGCAGCGCAGCCACCAAGGGTGTCACGGTTTCCTCGACACTAGTGGTGCGATGCCATCGCACCGGTCGGCGTGGCCATGGAAACCCCACCCGTCGCAGCCATGGATCAACGCACGCCGCCATGGCTGGGCATGAAGATGCGGTATGGGCGGATCTGGCCGAGCGGGGAGGAGCAGAGGCCGTGCGATGGGGCGGATCGGGCCGGAGCATGGCCGGGCAGGGAGTGCCAAGGGCCGGGCGATGGGGCGCATCGAACCGGAGCGTGAGAGGATCAGGGGTCGTGCGGCGGGACGGAGTGGCAGGGAGCGGCGGGGCTGGGCGCGGCGCGGTGGCTGGAGGGGAAATCTTGGGGAGAGGAGGGGGATTTGTTTTACCCTGGCGGCGGAAGGCAAAACAGAGGAGAAACCTAACCTTGGTGAAATTTTTCCACCTCTTGCGCGCCCTTTCTCCCTTCCCTTTCCCACTGCCCAATGGGGCCCACCGTGTGGAACGAAATAAAAGGCGCGCTGCCGACAAAAATGGCGCAAGGAGACATCAGGTGGCAACAGTGGGGCACGGCTTCGTGGCTTTAGGGGAAGTTTGTTTCCAACTTTGTTTTTTTTCGCTAAAAATTCAACTTCCCCTTGGGTATACTGTTCATTGCTTTTCTTTCCTTAGTGCAGGCCAATGAGTTCTAGGTAAAGGACTTGACCTTAGGTAAAATGGTAGTTTCTAGTAGTGAAGCCAAGTTCTATAACGTAGAATTCTCACTAGTATATGAAAGTGATAACATAGGAGACTCTTTATCATGAAAATCATGGTGCTATTTTGAAGCACAAGTGTGGAAAAATGATAGTAACATTGTCCTTTCTCTCTTTTTCTCTCATTTTTCATTTTTTATATTTTTTTATTTGGGCATTTTCTCTTTTTTTATGGCCTCTTTTTTTTCTTTTCGTCCGGAGTCTCATCCCGACTTGTGGGGGAATCATAGTCTCCATCATCCTTTCCTCACATGGGACAATGCTCTAATGATGATCATCACAATTTTATTACTTACAACTCAAGAATTACAACTCAATACTTAGAAAAAAATATGACTCTATGTGAATGCCTCCGGCGGTGTACCGTGATATGCAATGACTCATGAGTGACATGTATGAAAGAATTATGAAGGTGGATTTGCCACAAATACGATGTCAACTACATGATCATGCAAAGCAATATGACAATGATGAAGCGTGTCATAATAAATGGAACGGTGGTAAGTTGCATGGCAATATATCTCGGAATGGCTATGAAAATGCCATGATAGGTAGGTATAGTGGCTGTTTTGAGAAAGGTATATGGTGGGTTTAAGGTACCGGCGAAAGTTGCGCGATACTAGAGAGGCTAGCAGCGGTGGAAGGGTGAGAGTGCGTATAATCCATGGACTCAACATTAGTCATATAAAACTCACATACTTATTGCAAAAATCTATTAGTTATTGAAACGAAGTACTACACGCATGCTCCTAGGGTGATAGATTGGTAGGAAAAGATCATCGCTCGTCCCCGACCACCACTCATAAGAAAGACAATCAATAAATAAATCATGCTCCGACTTCATCACATAATGGTTCACCATACGTGCATGCTACGGGAATCACAAACTTTAGAACAAGCATTTCTCAAATTCACAACTACTCAACTAGTTTGACTCTAATATCACCATCTTCATATCTCAAAACAATCATCAAGTATCAAACTTCTCATAGTATTCAGTGCACTTTTAAGTTTTCATGTTGGATGCCTATCATATTAGGACTAATTTCACAATTAAAGCAAATTACCGTGTTGTTCAAGACTCTACAAATAATATAAGTGAAGCATAAGAGATCAATAATTTCTATAAAATAAAACCACCACCGTGCTCTAAAAGATATAAGTGAAGCACTAGAGCAAAAACTATATAGCTCAAAAGATATAAATGAAGCATATAGAGTATTCTAACAAATTCCGAATCATGTGTGTCTCTCTCAAAAGGTGTGTATAACAAGGATGATTGTGGTAAGCTAAAAAGCAAAGAGTGAAATCATACAAGACACTTGACGGTGTCCTGGACTAGGGGGTACTCATCACGTCGTCTCCCGATCAGTTGGATTGGGCCGAGGACCCCCATGGCCGCATACTCATGGGCCAGTTCGGACGGCTGCCGCATATAAGGAAGATTCCACAAGACTTGGCGATCAAGACAAGGACTCCTCCCCACTGGCGTATTGGGCTAGGACTCTTGTTATCCTAGGCCGCTGGTGCATTATATAAACCGAGGCCAGGCTAGTCGATAGATATATACAACAATCATACCATAGGCTAGCTTCTAGGGTTAAGCCTCTACGATCTCGTGGTAGATCAACTCTTGTAACACTCATATCATCAATATCAATCAAGCAGGACGTAGGGTATTACCTCCATCAAGAGGGCCCGAACCTGGGTAACATCGTGTCCCCTGCCTCTTGTTACCATCGATCTTAGACGCACAGTTCAGGACCCCCTACCCAAGATCCGCCGGTTTTGACACCGACATTGGTGCTTTCATTGAAAGTTCCGCTGTGTGATCGGCAAAAGGATCGATGGCTTGTCTGCAGGTCAACTGCGATGCCGGCATCTTCGTCCCCGACTCGACTGGTCACCTTGGCTCGACCAAGGACCGTACTCCATCTCCGATCGTCATGTTCGGACGAGGGTCTTCATCAACATCAATTCCGATCTCTATCAAGATCATGGAGGAATCATCCATGGAGCTCGGGGGCTCAACGTCAACATTGCCTTCGGGTGACCGTGCTGTTTTTCCGAACAGCAAACTTATATTCGCTGCCACCACCTCTTTGAGCATCGCTTTGACGATCCCCTTGGTGGAATTGTGTGGAATTAAATCTACAACAACCACGCAAAATTTCATCAAGTTTCGATGGAGGAATTTCTGACAATCTACGATATACCGGAGCCCTGTCAAATCTGGACGAGAATCTGGACGAGTTTCGGGCGTGGTGTCCGGCTTCTAGCTCGGACGTCCTTTGGAAGATCCAACCGTTGATCTGCTGCGGAATTCCTATATCTAACACCCCTCAAAATTTCAGCTCGATCCGGCCGTCCAAACTCCGGAAACCTTCCGATTAGTGCATCACTTTTCGGATCTGTTTTCTGCGCGAAAACGAATCCGACCCGAGTTCATCTTTTTTATGAACGGAATTTCGGACATCCTTTTTGAAGGAAGTTTTGTATGGGGTGTTGTGTTTTGTTCCCGAACACATCCCACTAACTTTAAAATCTTTTGAACATAATCTTTAACATCATGCTGGTGTCAAATCAATTCGACAATATTGCTCCACGGCTGTCGACCTGCACTAGACGCGTCGTCACTTTGTTGAGCCGAGCTCAACTTCTTCGGATCATCGTCTCGGAAAGCCGAACAAGAGTCCGACATCGCGAAGAATAAATCATCACCAACATCGCCGCCCCACGGATTACACGGAGCGGGCATACCGGCATCGCCGCACGGTCACTTCATCAAGCCGGCATCGACCACGTCACGACCTGCATCGGCAGGGCCGCACTGTTGCTTCTTCAAGCCAGTGTCCATCACGCTGACCTACTTCGACTCATCGGCTGACATCGAGGCTTCGACATCTTGGCTGGACCGGGGGCTTAGCCATCTCTTCATCAACCTATACTCCGGAGACTTCGGCGTCACTAGCCGACCAGTTCCATCATGTTAGCTGGACCGAGGGTTTTGCCTCGGCGAGCCAACCTTTGCCAGCATCGCCGTGTCGTTGCTTTATCGCCCATCAGGCAATGGGTGCGCGGATCGAGTCTTAATTTTGGTAATCACCTTTCTTTGGATTGCTACAACAAATAAATCATGTGCTATTAATCCTAGTATTTTTTGCTTGTTTGGGTTCATTTTTCCCAAAGAATTATTACTCTAATTTGTCCATCATATGTATGCAGGTCTATCAAATGGTGGCCGCATTAACGACGATCGCATGGTGGTTCGGTCAAGTTTCCGTACATAGTCCGGCGAACGCCGCATCCGGAACTCGGACCGACCTATGAATTCAAGCTTTGTCACGCCTTTACCGCATCACGCTGACGCCCTGCATCGACATTGACTTTGGCGCCAGGCCATATTTATTTTATTACTCACTTTGCATAAATTATTTATTATGCAATGATTTATTATTATTATTATTATTATTATTATTATTATTACTACTATTATCTTCGGTTTGCACTATTTTTTGTGCACATGAAAATGATCCAGCCGGACTATATCCTTTGGCATCACCTCGGCTGGACGGGGGGCTTCGTCAACACTTCATTACCCCATGCCGGGGACTTCGGCATCACTCTGCCGGCCTGCATTGACCGTGCTATGTCACAACTTCGGAGTGCCGAGCTTTTTGCTCCGCCACCTCGGGACCGGCTTGGGGGATGGAACCTTGTCCCGCATCAAGCTCGGACTGCGTCTTCAATACCGAACACATTAACCAGCTAAGTTGCCTTCATGCTCCAAGTTTTAAATTTTTAACTTGTGTTCGGTTCGACCAAGCATTATACCTTTTTAGAAAAAAAAGTTGCTTGTAAAATTTTCATTGTCCAAACTTTGTTTGTGACGCACAAATTCAAATACGCGGTTTATTTGGGGGCTTCCTTTATGAAGTTTTTCCTCTTGCATATGATTATACTTGTACGGCTTCATTCCTTGTTTGTGTATTACGCCACAATATGCACCATATTGACTTAAGCGATTTGCAAGCTGGGTTGCCTGGCTCCTGTGCTTACCCCTACATTCTCGATTGTTCGGCTAAGGAGTAAAGGGAGCACCTCTGCGATTGTCATGACCGGGTCCTCCGAGCTCTGACCTCAGACTGGGTGAAGCTGAAAGCTAGCACTCTTATTGTTTTCAATCATGGTCGGCACACAACGGAACTCATGAGTACAAAAAATCTATTGCACAAGTCTCATAGTAATAATGAGCACCGAAGAAAGGTATCGGTGGGGGTACTATTTTCTTTGAAGATGCTTCTTACACTTCGTCTGTAATATAGCATAAGTTCCCTCAGCGCGCTTTGTCTGTTACAGCCTTATGGCTCGGTTGCCTGGTTATCAGAAACACTATCGATATTCTCGACAGGCGGAGTACATAACACTTTTCGGTCCTTGACCGAAGAGGGAGAAGCCGACGGTCGGTTA